TATATTAAAAAATAGACAATATATAAAAATTCTCTTGTTTGAGGGCCCTAATTATACAGCTTTTGGGAGGTTGAATGCTGTGTTAGGTTGCATAAATGTGGGACTCAATAAAGCAATATTCCCTCCTTTGACCAATTATATGAATTACTTTTCACACAAAAAAAAAGAAAAGAAAAATATGGTAAGAGGAGGAGCGCAAGAGAATCTGTTTTGGTCGTCCCAATTATGTCAATGCCTATCATAATATTCCTCAAGAGTCAAGACACAACACAACCACGATCATGATACATATATATACACAAACTTTGGAAAAGAACAGTTTTGAATAGTGTATGCACTATATCTTCATGCATGCCAAAGCATGGAAATTGTTTTCATCCTGTTTTTTTTTTTTTGAAAATTTGTTTTGGTCCTGTTACGTCTAATAATGCTAGCATTTTGGTTATGCTTAGTGAAACTATGTAAAATTTTAATTTCCCTTTCTTTATATGAGCATAGTTTCCATCATTATAACCAACATCGATATATAGATTAGACAATCTTTTTCACCTATGGATCCATTTGTTGACTATATATACATTAAAAAAATGCTGAGAATAATTGCCTTTAGACAGAATATATCGTACGCTCTAGTTAGCAAACTACAATGATAAAAATAAAATTCTTAATAAATAGTTGGAAGAAATACATCAATATCTACTTGAGTCTATTGTCGTTAACGACTTAACTGTAAATTCAGTGCGATATATTTCCCAATCCCAGCCTATTGCCTAGAAATAAGCAAACCCTCAAGATTGCTATGGGATAAGTGAACACCCTCTCTACAATTGCAGCTGCGATCAACTTGAGGATTTGTAGGCGATCATGAGTCATGTTTAATGTGCATTTCAACTTGAGGATTTGATCTTATGAGCAGATCAGAACAAAGTCATTTCTCAATTACTTGGACAAATTAAATTGAAAAAGTTGGTTCAATTTCTAAAATAAGAATCTTAATATATGTAACGCTTCATTAATTTGTTACTTTTATTTATAAAAAGGTTGTGTTTTATTTTTCAAATAAACACATTTATTTGTTTAGTGTACGGTTAATTTTCCTAGCTAACCTATACTACATTGATTTCTTATAGCTTCATGATTATGTTAGAATGCCTTTGGTTGAATTTACGATTGTTCTTCTTAGTCAAAATTCTATTCACATAATTAGTCCACTCATGTTGCTGTTCGTGAGCAAGAATTGTCAGGGTTTAGCCAGATTTGCTTTCTAAGCCTTTGTGACTCGAACTGCCACAATAAAGTTAAACGTTTTATACTAAGAACATATCATATTTTGTTTCCCTTGAAGTTACTTTGCTAACATTGGTTTGAATAATCAGGACCCTACGACTGCTAGCTACCACTATTTGTTCATCATCATTCATCATTTACTGTTTAGAATTGAAAAATTAGATCACTGATCTGACCTTAATGCAGCATTAACTTTCAAGGTTTGTTTGTCAACCTTTCGAAACAAGATTCAAGGCAACCAAAGTGGGTAACACGAGAGGGTTCGGCTCCCCTCTATCATTCATTGTCCATAGAATGCTTTTTAGAATTTGAGTGGGAACAGGATACATGCATGCGTGACACTCTTAAATCAGTCCCTGTCAACAAGCCTAATTCATTTATCCTGCTAGCAATAAATGAATATACAATAACCATGCGAGCCAAGTACCAAACTCACAATGCGAAATGCCATTTTATTCAACTCTTTAGCACGACAAGGTCCGATCAGACACAAAAATAAACACCTTTGAAATTTGTAATAAATTGTAATCTTGTCATTGTAACATGATTGGATCCTTGGAAGACTAAAAGAAGTCAAATATCATTTTTTTTATTAATAGGGCTGGTCTAGGAAAATGTGAAAAGACAAATAACGAGAGTGAACAAAAATTAGGGACAAGTGTACAACTTATTTTATGTACGTACATATTGATTTGAAAATTAAAAAGTTTCATTGACTTAACTAATTCCATAACTATATATTTTCAAAAAAATGTCAAAGAAAATTTTTCTCAATTGTGTTTTTTTAATAATAACTTTTTTAATTTTAAATTTATTTTTATATGAATTTAAGTGAACAGAACCCTGATTAGTTTTTGTTTGTATAATCTGTTTTGATCAAGGACGGATTTAATTTTTAATATTTTTAAATTATATATATAAAATTAAAAATATTTAGATTTGACATGTCTGCACAAATCAAATGTTTTGTTTTGAAGTAGTGGTAAGAAATTTAATTCAATTTTTAGTGGCTTGAATTCAATTCCTTTTAGGCCCAACTAAATCTTTTTTCTTTTCAACTTTTTTTCCTTTGAAAACATGAAATCACGTTAAACACAATTTTGTCCAACGTCAAGCATGATTTACAATGCATAATATGAAAATTTAATGTTAATTTTTTTTACTTTATATTTATTTATTTAGTGAATCTAAAAACTTATATAATTTTAAATTGTTAATGAAATTTTTTGTTATAATTTAGTCAAACACAATTTATGATGCTTAATGTGAAAATCTAATGTTAATTTTTCTTTCTGCTTTATGTCTATTTATATTAGTAAATCTGAAAAATTATATAAATTTAAATTGTTAATAAAATTTTATGTTATAATTTAATTTTATATTCAAAGTGATTAATTTTTTTACTCAGAATCGAACCATTGACTTAATACATAACCCAACTTATGATCTTATATAATTACTGTTTAGCCACATTTCATATAATATCGTGGATCCGCCACTAATTTTGATTACATTTTGGACTCTAGTAAAAATTTTGTATTAGTTTTTATGATATTTAATTAAATAATTAAATTTAATTGGAAAAGAAATACTTCAAAAAGAAAACTATAACTTATATAAAGATACTGAAAATGAGATTATCATCATATACATAAATGGGTCACGAGTGTTTGAAACATTTTTCTTTTGCAGTGTATGAGAGTCAGTTGGCATCATTTTGAAAAAAAGAAATAACAGTCAGCAGTTTTTTGATTAAACATTGATAAATTTTTTGATATGGAGAGAAAGGTTGGACTTGAACCATAAGACAAAGAACTTCTAGTTTACAATATTTAGGCTAATTTGATTAGGGAAAAAAATATATCAAAACAATTTATGAAGTCCTCGGGGAATTTTATTTGCTAATACGAGCAGAGTTTCTTACTTATATAAGAAAGAGAACCAAGGAATATTATTAATGAAAACCAAAATGTATATGTACAAGTGGAGGGAGGTTGAACAAACTGGAAGTTCCCCCTTAAAAATAAGCAATCTAATAACAGAATTAATCTGATGGAAAGGCCTCAAGGAATATGGTGGAAAGTCAATAAGAAATTACAACCAAGCTATTAACTCCTCTCCCTACCAGCACCCAGTCAGTCTCTCCTTAACAAGATACCATAGCTGTAGAGCTAACATTGGCAGGTTCGCCAGGTTGCTATTTTTTGCAACTGTGGTGCGTGTGAAACTAAAGAAAATTTTAATTAGAGAGAGTTTTATATGTAGTAGGGATTTTAAGGCTATTGCAACTTGCTAAACTAGGATATCTTTTCCTTTTCTTTTTCATTTTCCCCTAAATTTGAATAAGAAGATAAAAATCAAGAACATCAAAACATGAGCCAAGTTCAAAGTGTGCATGTGTTTTTGCTTTGTGTGGATATGTTCTGCAAGATGCTTTTGTCTAGTGAGTGAGTTTGTACATGTGAGAGGGAGAGGGAGAAATTCCTCATCAAATTAAAGCACATGGTTTCTGTTGGTGCAAATAGCATTTATATAAAATTTAAAAAATTGGTAAAATTGATTTTGAGATTAGCTTTTCAATAGATGTTATCTTTAAGACTTATTTAATCTTCACCATTCGATTTGCAAAAAAAGAAAATTATACCTTAGAGATACAATAAAGCTAATGTCTAACTTCGTCTTTGCACTTTACGAAGGTGGACTGCTAGATATATCGAAAGGTTTACAAAGATGTTCAAACTTAAAGCCTATTTTTTGCAATAAGTGGATTATAAGAAATTTGGATGCTTTTAATAGATGATAGGAATTCAAATATTTATGTTTATTTGCAGAACATAACACTTCTATTACTTATTGAATTTTCTGCTCTTGTCTTATTATTGTTTTGATGTGTCAAAATAGTTAGCAATAAATTTTTTATATAGGCTTGTGAGTGTCTTTTCTTTGAGGACACAATCCTTTTATTAAGATATTTTTTTCTCTTAAAAATATCTTTGCATTTTGTAAGATATAATCCTTAGACAAAGGTATTGTTTCAATGATTACCTTATAAAAGGAAAACTCTTTATTTCGTAAAATATAATTTTTGAGTTAAAATATGAAAAAATAAATTTTTAGGTTTAAACTTTTTAACCGTAGTGCTTTTTAATTATCTCATAACTTTTATGTTCAGAGGTGTTTTTCTAATGTGTCACTCTACTAAGAGATAAAACTATTCACATGAAAAACTAACTAACGATCCAATAGTTCCACTATATCAGTTTATGCAAAATAACCTTTGAGCTGAAATAACTTTTTATTATGTGATATAGCTTTTCTATTTTGAAAATACATCAACAATTTTTGATCCAAAATTTCCATGTTTAGCTTCATGCCATTAAACATCAAGATCTTTATATGGTTACTAGTTATTTGAGAAATGACATAGCTAGAAAAAGGAAAGACAGGAATAAGGCTACCAAAATTTGTAAAACAAGGAGAATAGCCTTTAAATAATTGCAACCGTTCTACAATTGGTTGTGTTTGAGATAGCCATTTGATTTCTTCTCAGAGATTACAAAAAATTTTCCCTGAATGTACGATGGACTAATTTTTGCTCTAGTTCTATATATATATATGAGTTCCCTTTTCCTGAAAAAAAATCACTAAAAATGATTGGCCAAATAAACAAGATATACAAGGCCAAGGGGAGTTCCTAAGGTTAATAAGAATCATTAGGGTCTTTGAGATTGAACCAAGTTTACCATATTGATCGCAGCATCTTTCCATGGCAAATTAATGTTAAAATTTTGGGCACTCAAGAGCAACTCCCTTGCCCTATTTAGAAAATCAACACCATCCTTTTGAATCTGCACTCTTTTGGGCCATTTGAGTAGGCTGATGTATGTTTCAAGGTCATGAACGCATGAAGGATTTTGCACGTTGAAGAAGTCCAGGACAAGTTCAACACCAACGTGAGCATAACATGAGCAGCTCCATGGGAACTCATATCTCCCTCCCAAAACCCTAAAATTCTCGTTGAATAAAACACCTGGAAGCTTTGTAATGGGGTCGTTAACATTGGCTATTCTCAACACTTTAACTCCCAATTCCTCACACCTTTGCTTGAAACTTGAGTTCCCTACTCTAGGTCCCCCAAAGGAGAAGACAGTGACCGGTGTTTCTTGGTCTGAATCGGTTTTATTCAAGCCAAGCTCTGTAATATCATAAGCAAATAGAAGGGCCAAAGCACTCCCCATACTATGGCCAGCCAAAGTTATGCTCAATTCCTCACCTTTGTATTTGTTTAGTATCCTTGAAACCTCGGATAGAAGCTGTTCGCGACAACTCTCGAGTCCAAACTTGCTATCAGTTTCGTCTGAAGTGTACAAGCTCAAAAACCCTGACTCCACCTTCACTTCCGGCCTCGGGTTATGCGGGTCTAGGCGTGCAGGCGTGAGCGAGCTCATGAAATTGGCAACCCATTCATGGTTTGTAACCGTCCCTCGAAAAGTGATCAGCACATCTCTTCTCCCAAGCCTTTTAACGGCATCATCCGATGACACCGCTACATAGCCAATCCAACGGCCGCAAGAAGCCGTTTGGATTGGAATATTGACATCAGGTGTAGCGTAGATGTATTTAGTTACTTGGTAACCAGAGTTCTCCATCCCAACTTCTTTTAGCATACTCTTCTTTCCGTACTTGCAATTCAAGTACCTTCTAGAGTTGGGATCAAGATCAAAGGCCTTGTAACAGGCGGCGACGAACTCCCCATATCGGATGATCTCTTTCCGGAGAAGAGGGTGCAATGGTTCGACTAGATTTTCCCAGTTGTTGGAACCTTGAATTTCTCTCCAGAAACGAGACAAGATAGAACTAGCTTTGGAAACTGCGGCAGCAGTAACCGCCATAGCTGGTGTTTCTACAGAGTTATTAGCAATAACTGATAGTCTTGATGAAGAAATCCCCGTTTTCTTTGGCAAGCAAACTTGCCCAAATGAATGTGACCTGGGCTGAATGTCCCCTGGAAATGCAATATGGTTCATGTTTAAGCTTGGCATCAACACTTTAGATGCCATTTTAGAGAGTGCAGGAGGGAGAGAGATATAGACACAGAGAGAGAGTGGGAGACAGAGAGGGGGATGAGAGGCTACTCTATTTTGTGAAAGAATATGAAACAATTGGATATATATATATGTATAAGGAAGAAGAGAGGAAGAGAGGGTGGGAGCTAAATACCTGACAACGGTGTTTCTCTCATGGTGAAATTGAGACAGAGAGAGAGAGAGAAAAGAAAAGAAAAGAAAAAGCACGTTGGCGAGTATTTGACTGAGATAATCATTCAAACTTGCAGAGGCAAGTGGTCGGTCGGGTTTAATATGTCACACTCCTCCGAGGGCTCATACTGTTGCGGCTGGTCATCCTCCTTTTTACATATATATTAAAAAATTAATATATACTTCTAATACACATATACTTACTATATACTCTTTATTAAGAATATATATTATAAATAAACCAAAACGCTCATGAACGCTGACAGGCGTTACTTTGTCGTTTGCTTGTCTGTGTCCTTTTCCTTTTATTGGGGTTGACTTCAAAACCCCCTACTATGAACAGAGCAAAATTCCCTAGCTGTGCCCTCAAACGTTCAACCAAAATATATTAATTTTTGGGTCTCATGCAGACCCCAGTTTCATATTTTATCTCATTCTTTAACATTATTTTGTGAATTCATCGGACAGGAATTTAAATAGCATTGTTTTGTGGATAAAATGTTAATTTGAGTTTCAATTTAATTACCTTTGTCAAAGTTCAACTTGGAATGGTAGAATTTAGTAATTCAAAGGATTTTCACAGAGAGACCAATTAATTAGACGGTACATTGATTTTATTTTGATGAAATGAAGAAATTCTCAGTAAAGAAAAAAAATTAATTGTTGAACGAAAAGTTTGGTATGTTTCAAATATATATAAGTCCGCTAGTCTAAATACTTTCATTTATATATTGGTTTTTCATATGTTAATAAATGTGAATAAGTCATTTCCATAAAAACACATAAGAAGATAATAATTTTGATAAAAAGTTTAATTATCCGTAAAATTATTTACATAAAATATTAAAACATGTTAAAATGCTTAAAAAAGTTCAAAGCAACTCATGATTAAAAATCCCCAGCAATTTCAACTAATGAAGTCTAGTTAGGTTTTACTTTATATAAATTATGGTGTTAATCTGGCGCCAATTGGTGGTATCCCACTTTACCCTTGGAGGGGCATGCTTATATAGGGGCATAGACGCTATTTGGACAGTAATATTTTTTTTTGCCCTTTTTCCATTTTTGACAATTATCCTTATCCTTAATTTAACTTGAATTAGGGTTCCCTATTTCCTTTGGTTTTCATCAATTACTTAAATGAGTACAAGTAAGATGTGGTCGGAAAAGAGGGATAATGTAGAATTAAGAACTGAAAAAAAGGGGAACCAAAGGGTTTGGAATTTGGCCGGCAATTAATTTTCAATAAAGGGACATAAATTGTAAGAAAATTACACACATGACCCAAGAATGGGTTACTTGATTTGACGAACATGTACACACATATATAAATAGGAGTTTAGACGGATGAGAGTTAAAAGTTCAACGCGGTGAGTGACTTTTGGCTTTTGAGCATAAAGACTGAAACACTTTTGTGTCCTCTGCTCTTCTTAATCACATGCTATAAACCTTTCTAATTAGATTAGGCGAGTAGTGTGCTGCAGCGTCAGCTTCCTCACTTCCTCCTATACGGTCGCCGGTTTTTGACTGCCTCCCCCTTTGCCAACCTTATGTCATAAAAGATTACACATAAGACTGTACCCTCAGCTCTCAAAATTTAGTAATCCTACTAGTTTCAATAAAGTAGATAAAAAAAAGGTTTCTATTTCTTTTTGCTTTATTTCAAATTGGGGTAATGCTTTTAAAAAATTTCTGAATTATTTTAAAAAATTTAAATAAATTTTTATTATTCTATTAAGTTTAATCAAATTTTTATATTTTATTGAACTAAATAGTCATTTTTGACTTTAGCATAAATCCACCAAAGCCCTTGCTTTAGGACTCACAATTTTATAAGTCTCGTAATTTTATATAATATAATTAATTATATTAAATATATATATAAGAATTAAAATAATTAATAAAATATTTTTTAAGTAAGTGTCTATTAAATATTTATTTTCTCTATTTCCTTACTTCTTATTAATTCTCAACTATTTATCTTACTTTTTCATTTATGTAAAAGTCAAAATAATTAACAAAATTGCATATTGTCTCACTTTTTCAATTATGTACTCTAATAAATTTTTATTTTTTATCATTTCTTAATTCTCATAATACTAATAATTCTCAATTATTTTTCCTATTTCAATGAACCTAATATGTTTTAATGATCTCCAACTAATGGTAATTTTTTTAATTTAATAAAAAAGACCTTATTTAAATATTTAAACGCTTTAGGCCTTTGAAGGTATTGAGACATCCCAGTTTTTGACTAGTAGTTGACTAACTGAATGTTAATGCAGATGATGAAAAATGTCATGTAATAATATTATTATACCATATCATTATTCAGTATAACAGTTAATATGTCACGTCAATATCAGGTGACATAAATAATAATAAATTGATATTTTGACTAATAACAGATAGTCAACTGTTAATTATTAAGACTTATTTGATTTAAAATAGAAGAATAAGCACTTAATTAAATGTAAAAAAAGAATAAATATTTATTTAAAATTTTTAAAATGATTTAAGAGTTTTTTAGGCATTATGCCTTTTCAATTATTAATATAATCCTTTCATTATTTGGACATTGAAAGAGATAAATTGGCAAAGCAGATAAAATATGTAAACCAGGATAAAATTTCTTACTTTTGCTTCCTTTTTATTATATGGTAAAACCTCTATAAATTAATACTCGATAAATTAATAATTTCGATTAAATAATGTTTTGGGTCGATTCAACTTGAGATCAATGTAATAAATTAATAATTCGATAACTTTATAAAATCATATATTTAAAAAAAAACACATAAGTTTCACATAATATATAAATTAATAAGCTCTTTATATATCAAACTTATAAATATAAATGACTTAATTAGGAAACTTTTATAACATATGACTTGAATGTTACTTGTTTTTCTTGCAATTAATATCTCTTGGACCTTATTTCTAACTTTTTTTGATATTGAACAAACCACTCATAAAGAACCTTCTCTAGTTTTGGGAATTTTGCAGTTTTATGTCATTTAACATCACCTTTTGCCATGTTGGCTGATAAATACTTTGATGATCTTTCGATTGTATTTGAAATTGTTGTTTAATTGGCTCACTCACAAGTTAATATTTTCTCACACCTATTGTTGCATTCAATTGCTCTTAAGTGCAATTTGGATTTTCTATGTTGCACTCACACAATGCTTTACGCATTTCATCTGTCATTATTAATTTTTCTATATATTTGAGATGAAAGGCCAGTGTATTTAGCTTTATCGTTTGTGTTACTGAATGTTTTTTTTATAAATATTTTTGCTTAACTTAATATCATGAAGTATATTAATTAAGTATATATCAAATGTAATTTTAGTTTCTTACAAAAATGAATAGATTTATTACTTTTATTTAATAAGAGTAATTACATTCATAAACTTATTTTGGTTAAATAAATGCATAGAATAATAATGTATTATAATTCAGTAATTAAGTAATATTTATATGATCACAATGCACTATACATGTATTAAATTCAATATTAAAAAAAAAGAATACCTTGATAAATTAATTTTTAAATTAATATATAAATTAATATATTATTAATTTATCAATTAAGTAATATTTCGATTAATTAATAAATTCTCATTATCTCAAGAAAATTAATTTATAGAGATTTTCCTGTTGTATTTTATCATCAATCAATTTTTTATCATAATTTCATTTAATATTGGATTGAAATTTTGTTGTTAATGGCAAACACATTGTAGATGTCGTATCGATTAATATTTTGATTTTTTTATTAAAAAATAAGACCTATTGATATCAGTTGGTTTCAACCTATTATACATTTTAGATTTATGGTCTATTATTACATATGCTTGTCAAAAACACACAAGGTACAAATAATTTTCCAACATAAATAATAAGCATTACAAAGATAATCAATCAAATAATAAGTTCTTATAAAGGAAAATCATCCAAACCAAACAAGCAATCACCTAATCAATATATTCATTAATCAACATGTGATTGGGAGAAAAGCACAATACAAAATTGAGTAAATTCATGAAATAATAAAATTTAAATTTAAAATTTAATAATATCATTTTCACAATTTTATGGCGATTGATGGTATTAATCATTCATATGTTTTCTTCTTTTACTTAATTTAAAATATTATAAATAAATCAAAATATATAATCTTTAACCTTGTCTAAATTCGTTTACATTTCAGGCATTACTTGTGTTCGAATAACATCTCGTTTGGCTTAATTGAAAAGCCAAGAATAAAAAATAACCATAATTATTATTGTGTTGGATGAACCGTATCAAAAGCCGAGACTGTCAAAGAAAGGCCCTAGCTCGCTAAATATCAGGATTCTTTTTATTGGCTTAGAAAATAAAAAGAGAAGAAAATGAAAATGAAAACAAAAAATGAGAATATTCTACTTAATTAGCGGTCCAACACATGAATAACGAATTGCAATATCTATTTTTTTTTTTAGTCAAAACATTGATCAAAAATGTTAAGCTGATGGGGAAATATGAAGGGAAAAAATTGACAAAATTTTTTCTTTGTTTTAGACTTTTGGGTTAGTTCCTCCCATTGATCTTGGAAATTAATGGTAGATGAGAGGAGAATCTGCTTGAAAGAAAATGAGTAAATGAAGTAAAATGGAGGGTAAACAGGTTACTGGTTTTGACAATTTTGATATGTTTAGAAATTGGCTGAGAGGGAAGGGGGAACATGTGAAACAACAATTTGAAAAATATGTGTGATATTTGTATTCGGGTTGTTTTTTGTTTTTATCAAATGGATT